AGAATTCTAATTCCATCCCAAAATACTCGCACAAAAGACACAGTGAATTAAAAAACATTATCTAACATGCACCAGCTTACTGAAATGATTTGAGCTAGGTCAGATGCTATTCATAAGAAATATAGAGGAAACAATATGATAAGCCATTTTATTCAAAAACACCGCTAAGTTTTAGAATAAGTGATGCAAAGAAGGAAATGAGAAAGACAACTAAGCCCACAGCATTACAAATTATAAGCAGTTGTGTTCATGACAAGTATATAATAGCTTTTTTTACACATCTTACACTGGTGTACATTGCTCGTATTGTGGACAGGAACGTATTGCCTCAATCACTCAGGAGGATGCGAGGTGCACCGTGATGTAATACAATGGCGTTGGAGAGGAGATGTTCTTTATTTTGCTGGAGAATAAGAAAGCATTAAGAACGTAAAGGCTCTGCTGCAAAGTTGAGGAGGAAGAACTGTACTGACACAGGGAAAGCGCATCTAAGAACTGTCAGTCCAGTTTTTTGTCCTCAACTTTGCAGCGCAGCCTTTATCTGCAGTATCTTCCAACTGGCCCTCACACAAGCTTTACTGAAGCATTAAAAAGTTTTGTGTTTCTAGTTTTTAGATGTAGCAATTAGGTCTAATTGAAGTGATGCGGTTAGTTCTTCTGGGCATTAAAAGCATCTGAGGAATATTACAGGGTTGGTGTGGAAAAGCAACAGTGCCTGCAACGTTGCACTAACGTTGTCGGCTCTGAAAAAGCACAGAGCCCTTCTCTGTGCTCCTTGTTGATATTTCCTCATGAGAGGAAGGTGAATGCAGTGCTCAACATGTGTTTGCAAACTGAATTGTTCAGCTTTAGTGTACCTTGAAGCTGTGTGCCAGGCTTGTTAGCAAATTTTACATTAGTACTATTTAAAGTGATACCAAAGGCAAGTAACAATTTGGGCTGCACTCATGGACTGATACTTGAAAACATCAGAAATGTCTATGTCGCTGATGGCAGCTCTTCAGTAATTGAGATATCTAGAGAAATGTGAGACATCAAATGCAGCATCACAGTGACATTACAATACTGGCATTATGACATATCATGTACTCTTGCTATATATCTGTTACTCATGCTGTACTCTCATAATGAAAAGACCATTCCAGTGTATTATAAAATGGCGTAAAATTTTATCTGTTAATTTCTGTTCTTTTCTTGGAGACGATATGTTTTTGATGTTGGCCTACGTCATAACCATCAACATGGTCGCGAAGGGGGCAAACCCAAATTGCAGGTGGGGCAAAGCTCCCATCGCACTCTCCTGCTGATGCTTTTGGCTTAAGTGGCACCCAAACTTCCATACTAGTGATGACCTCAAAGAGTGTTCTGGCTGCCATGGTTCAGACATTATCTTAAAAAAGACATGAGTGGCCAAGAAGTTTCAATACCTGTTATGCTATTTTTCTTAAAAGGGCTGTGCCTTGCTGGCATTGCTCAAAAGCAAACCTCACTTTTAGGGGTTATTCACACTGGTGGCTCTAGGAGTCGCGTAACCAAGGCGGTTGGAAAGGTTTTGTCAGAATGAAGTTGCAAAGGATCATGATCATCATTTGCTGACTACGGCCACTGTAGGACAAAAGCCTCTCCCATGTTCTGCCAGTCAACTCGGTCCTGTGCTTGCTGCTGCCACTTTATACGCGCAAACTTTCTCATCTTCTCTGCCCACCTAGCTTTCTGTCTCCCTCTCACCCGCTTGCCTTCTTTGCGAATCCAGTCAGTTAGCCTTAATGACGAGTGGTTATCCTGCCTACCCGCTACATGCGTGGCCCATGTCCATTTTCTCTTCTTGATTTTAACTATGATATCCTTAACCCCGGTTTGTACCCTGATCTACTCTGTTCTCTTTTTGTCTCTTAAGGTTACACATATCATTTTCCTTCCATTGCTCGCTGCATTGTCCTCAATTTAAGCTGAACCCTCTATGTAGGCCTCCAGTTTTCTGCTCCGTAAGTACTGGCAATATGCAGCTGTTATATACCTTCCTCTTAAAGGCTAGTCGTAGATTACCATTCATGATTTGAGAATGCTTGCCAACTGTTATCCACCCCATCCTTATTCTTTTAGTTAATTCGCTGTCATGGTTCAGCTTTCCGAATGCATACCTGCCACCTCTTCTTATTTTTCCGTAAAATGTATAAATTTTGACCGTGCTTATGGTTTTACGAATCTTGCCTGAAATTTACGAAAAATACTTCATTTCCGACAAAAAGAAAATAAATATGAGTAAAATAGCGTGGCCTCCGCGATTGGCTAGGTCCCATTGCCGTAGCTAGTCGCGGAGGCCACAAAAACGGTGTTGTGCTATATTCCGCCACCAGAAGAGAACAATATGTATTGCTGTTATTATCGTCATCTGAATGTGATCCATCCCATTCCTGTTCTTCAAGTTATTTCACTCTCGTGATTAGGCTCTGCGGTTACTACCTGTCCTAAATAGATGTACTATTTTACAACTTTAAGTGCGCTGCCACCTATCTCGAAGCGCTGTTCTCTTCCAAGCTTGTTGTATACTACTTTTGTTTTCTGCAAATTAATTTAGAGACCTACCTTTTTTGCTCTCCTCGTCTAATTCAATAATAGTTCATCCCCTGAGTTACTCAGCAATGCCATGTCATCGGCGAATTGCAAGTTACCAAGGTACTCTCCATCAACTTGTATTTCTATCTTTTCCCATGCTAGGCCTCTGACAACCTCCTGTAAAGACGTGGTGAATAGCATTGTGCAGATCATATCCCCTTGTCTTACACCCTTCTTTATTGGCATTCCGTCGCAAAGGGTCACTTTTGGTCAAAAGCAGACTGTTTTGGACTGCTGCTAGAAATTGCAGTTGTGCGACTGCAAAATAAACCAGCGAGTTGTTCATATGAAACAACTGCTTTTTGATGAAAAACAACCATTTGTAATTTCAGTGTGATAAAATATTTGTAATTATCTCAGTAGTATGACTAATCTCCATTTGCAAACAATAGGAAATGCTGCATTACCATGGTATTGTTGGCTCACTGCTTCAGCCATGCTTTTGCATTTTTTTGGCAAGAAACCGTAGTGTTTGCTGTTCAGGTGTGGATGCAGGGTTTTTCCAGAGGGGTCATTAAATAGCTTATGAAAAGTGTGATGCCCATAAATGTGTGTAAGGCATCAACATCCGTACGTAGCTTATGCATTAAACAATCGAAAAGGATTGTCAGGACATCTGGATTCCCCCACTGGATCTGTCCATGGTATTGCCTGTCAAGCACTGAAAGGTAGTGGGGTGTAACTGACATTGTTCATCTGGGGGGGTGGGTGAATTGGTTTGCGATGTAGGTATGTGGGCTCTTGAACCCCTCATAGGGGCCCTGAAACACTTTTTTGAGTAACAATGGAATTAATTCACTGAGAAAGCGTATTGACTTACAAATTCAATGCCGAAAATATTTTAAGAATCTGTCCAGTATGAGCGGAGTTACAAGGATTTGTCAGACGCAGGAATCACATTCTCTCTTCTCTCGTCCTGGCGAAAGCGCGGGAAGCTAAGCAGGGAGGCATGGGAGGGGCAAACAACAAACGTCACACACGCCTCGTGACCTTCAGCACTTTTTTTTCCCTTCAAATAAGCGGCTCTGTGAGTGTGATCGCATGCGCGCGCATGGACAAATGACAACCTTTCGCGGCCTTCTCTATAACAACTGAGCGTGCCATGTTTAAATCAGCCAATGGTTATAGATGGGTAATATACATGTGATGGTAATATACATGTGTCATTCTTGTCTCTGTGTCGTCGTTTTGTTCTCGCGCTATAACTATCGTCATGCCATACCAACTAGCCCAAGCTGCCACACTTCTAAGGTTTTTGAGTGTTTTCTGTCATTTGTCGAGGGAAGAAAAAGCAATATTTAGCTGACTTTGATCATTTATTGTAAATTCCAGGCCTCTTTAGCTCGCCTGTTCTCGGGAGCCTCTACTACCGATCAACTGAGTTTTCTGACTGTGCTCAAAAAGTGCTGCAGCAGGGGCGTGGTTTTTATAGGGAAAGATGGCGTGCGGTGGCGTTGACTCATTCTGCTGACCCGTGAACACGAAAAAGAAGCTATCTTGTTAGAGTGGTGATGATTCGAGTACAGATATTTATCTTGTGTTCGGAAGTGCAGACAGCGATGACAGTGATTGAGTATCTCCTCCGGTGATGATGAAGACAGCTCGCAAGCGAACATTGTGAGTGTCCGCCAGTGAAGTCGCCTTGCGTTATTCCACGTTTTGAAATTTTTCGCACAGCCCCAAAGCTTCCCAGGCGAAATATCCCAAGGGTGCTTAGCCCACACAAGGGAAGAAAGATGTAGCATCTGTAACTGTTTTGTTTATAAAGTTTTTAATCCTATTAGCAGCAGGTTTCTATGTATTGTTCAGAAATAAACTTTATTTAATCGATTTCACTTAGTATGTGGTGAAAATATGTTTTTCAACATCGACTAGCTACTTTTAGTACAACCAGAATTGAAATTCGCAATTAAGAAATAGGCACTTTTTGACCGGAAATTTTCGAAAAAAGTTAGCAGTTAAGGAGATAAATGTTATTTTCTTTTAAAGTAAGGTTGTTTTCGTTCATTTGGTGAAGACTAGTACAGTGAAGTTCGTGGAATCGGTATTTTAGCAATGTGCATGGATGTAATATTTGTCCTTAGTGTACCTCTAAATGCTATAGTTCCGTAGATGCTAGCATGATGCAAGTTCTAGGGAAGATGGAGGTTTGAAGTGATGAAATGTCGTTGAACCAAGAATGTCACTGTAGCAATGCGTGCAAAGGAAAGCAGGGGGCACTCGCCTTGTTCAGTCATCTTCCGCCGGCTACATTTCGTGTCGATTGAATTTTTTATTTATTTAACCGGCAAGTAATATTGCTTTTAATTTCTTTTTTTCTACAAGTTATCTCCGCTCGCCCCCTCTCGTTCTTTTTTCTTTATTTTGGTCTGAAACTCGTGCAGACATCGGTGTGCCGCAAGATCATGTCTCGGGTAGGCCAGGAGGGCCAAGTGGTGTGCATCCACCAGGACAACTTTTACAAGGGATTGTCGCCGTTTGAGCGGGATAGGGCCAACCGGGGACTTTTCAACTATGACCACCCAGGTGAGATCATTGCTTGTCTCCAACAAAAAGTGAAAGGTTCTTTTTTACAGTTACGATATATGGCCACTTTTACCCCAAGCTTTTAGAATGCCTCTGCTTCATTAGCAGAAATAATTTCGTATGGCTGCACATGGCGGCTGCAGGCTAACCCATTCAGGTAGCACCTGGCCTGTCTATTGTGCGATTCCAAGCTGTTCTTTCTAAGTTAGCAAATAATGTTTTTTTGTAGTGCAGCATTGGTTTTCAGGCACTGTTTTTTTTTTTTTTTTCACTGGAGAGTGGGAAGAGGTAGTTGGTGAGCATGAAGAGGTTTTGGTAGAGACGGAGAATCGCTGAGTACTACCAGAATATCTACTTGCATCTTTGACAAGTGTACACGTGAGACAAGATGAATTCGACACAAGACAAGTTAGCTCGTGCTTTGCAACCACTTTATTCTTCCATCTAAAATGTCATTCTGTTGTGTCCTGACTTCCACGTGAACCTCTGTTCCCGAGCAAGCCCCGACCCTCTAAGCAGTTCACCGTACCTGCAGGTGTTTGGTTGGTGGCTGTTCCCCCTCTCCTTCGCTCTTTACAAGCGAGTCATGACACGCTTTCCATGGCACTTCGTCTGCCACCTCTGACTAGGAATAAACACGCTTTTGCTCGTCCAGACTGTTTTTGGAACACCGCGCCCCACGCGTATGTCCTCGAGCTGACGACAACCTCGGACATGACACATTCATGCAAGATATTTGTGTGGTGAAGGTGGGGAGCCAACTGTGATTGGATCTACCAGTAATGACATTGACCTTATTTTAGTGGTGAAGTCACGAGGAATGTTTCGGTAGCTGTCTTGGATGGTATGTCATTTGACACTACCGATATGGCTGCAAATTGTCTGGCTGATTTACCAGGGAAGGCTGGATTTTGAGGCAATGAAATAGCGTGGTTTAGGTCTGCAACATCATAAATATAGACACAATAAATTTTTCCAGAAATGTAAGTAATTTCAAACACAGGCGTTTTCCACCTGTGTTTGCAGCAGGAAAACTTGAAACATTTTGTTGTTTGCTAATGATGGCAAGAAGGCGCCATTATTGGAACGTAGCTGTGCAATCGGCCTTTTTTCTGTGTGGCACGCAGAACACAGTCCGTCTATTTGTTCTTCAGCAGGGTGAGTTTAGTCTGCGATGTTGAATCAATACCCTGTTTGCGTGTTGTCTTTCTTTTTGGTATGACTGAGAAGGGCAAAGCTAGAGCAGATAGGCGATACTGACAAAAGACTAGAAGGGAGCCATGCCTCCCATCGGCTGGATTAAGTTGCGTACAGCCAGTTTTTCCCTTGTTGGGCAACACTTCGAAAAGCAAGTTACGAACGAAACAAAAACAACTTGCACATCGCATTTTTTGTCTTTTGCTCTTCACTTACCTTTCTTCTAATGGCTCTCCGAGGTTTTACATTTGCCTACCTCTCGTGCCACGCAAGTGTGGGAGCGTAGGCTGGCCAGTGCATCCCATGTCACTGCTGCTAACAGTTTTTTTCGGGGAGTTGGTCGAGCCCCATAAACTTCCAAGCGTGGTTACCCGGTAGCATTGATAATGGTCTCAAACTGCACCCGAAAGTGAAACCTGGCTAATGTAGACCTTTTTAATGGAGAGGAGGAAGGATCCACTCTTTTTCGGGCTGTTGCGTGGGGGTACAAAAGTTGACACCACAGCTTTGTCCCTGCGTTTTTATGGGGGTCACACATGGTAACAACAGCCCAGAGGGGCTTACGGCGGCACTTGGGGAGCCTTTAGTGAAAAGGTGTATAGGTGCTGATTTTGAATATGAGACATTTGTGGGCATTTAGGCTCAAATGCTAAAATAATCATTTGTGGGGGCTATAAAAACATTATAAAAGCCCTTCTTAATCTCTAATTCATGCTGATATATCAGAGTGGGGCAGTAGGGGTGCAAAAACAAAGTTGGCAATTGCCTGAAATCTGGTTTCTAGTGACCACTCTGCAGGGATGTAGTATGAATATGTGGTTAATACAAAAGACTAAAAACTTCATGGCGGGTGCCTAAAACAGCCAAATAAGAATGGTTGCCTATTTTAAAATATTTTCCTACAGTTTCTGCATAAAGTATTTTTAATTTTCTCACTTTTCATGAAGGCATGGATGTAAAATTTTATTACAATAAGTCAATCAATGTGGTTTAGTTTATGAACTTGAATAGAAGCCGTACTTGGGAATAGAAGCCGTACTTGGGAGCTTGACAAGCCTGCTGCCCCCGTTACATTGCTTCACAGCAGCACTGACATGATATTGCATTACTTGAAAAAAAAAAAAAAAAAAAAACTACACATCAATAAAAGAAAGGAAAAAAACACCACAATAAACACATTGTTCGAGGAACAAGATGCCAGATACAATCAGAGTGCAGAAAATATGTAATCTTACTTGGCCGTACTGAACACAAAGGATATGATGGATTCACTGTTGTGAGCATTGCCTTGCTGTTGTAAAAAACTGCTTCTTTTTATGGCGTTGTGTGATGTCTCCTCACTGTGCAACATAGCAAGCAAAAGATTTTCAGAAATCGTTTCAGGCAGCAGCTGGTTCATTTGACAATTCAGTACGAGGGCTGAAAGTTGAGGTAGTTACCTGAAGTTGTACCAACACACAGAAATGCAAAAAGTCATGGGCAGTGTTTCTGTAATTGGTCTAGTCTTCTGTGCCAACGTGTTGTCTTTTTTTCCTGCATGGTTTTTACTCGATGTGTGTGAGTTGAAACAATTGTCAAAAGTGGACATGCCATTACAGTTGAACCTGGATGTAATGAAATCGAGGAATGTCAGCAATATTTCGTTGCATGCAGTTTCTTGTTAAAATCGGTAAATGTAATGCAAAACAAAGCCAAAACGAGATGGAAATCACTTCAGAGGAGTTCACCTCTCACAGTTATTCTGGAGAAAAAGGAACTGCATGATTTTGGCTCGTGTCGTCTTCATATATGATGACATCACACAACGTTCCAAGGAAGTTAAATCATGCAAGGCAGCTTCATCGTTCTGCGTGCCGGCGGCATTTCGCAAGACATCTAGCGTGCCTGTCACTTCTTTCCTGGTAGGAGTGGCAAACAGGGGGTCTTCCTCTGACGCACCTTGTGACTGCGATCATGCACCATTTTTACAAGCCCTGTATCTGGTATTTCTTCAGTGTATGCAGCGCGGTTGTCAGCAAACAAAATTAGGCTAAGTTCGAAGTTGTTGGGTGCTCCCCCGTTCTCTGGTAGTGCATCCCACGATTCGGTTACGTCGGCTCTTCGTCATGGTTGGAGATTCCACTTTCAGCGACATTTAGTTGGGCCTTGGCGAAGCAATTTGAGACCTGAGCTACAACTTCTTGTCATGACACGGCAATCATCTTGACGGCTTGATAAATGTTGATCTTTATTTGGCATTCAAAACTCAGTCCCAGAAGAATCTTTTTCGTCATAAGACAGCAGTAGCAGCACTGGAAGCTGTTGATTATTCCTTTGTCCAGTGGCTGTATCAGGGATGTGCAATGGGGACGACAATTTATCAACTCGAGCCCTGAAAGATGAAAGCCTTCAACATGGTGCAAAGAGAATGGTCCAGAAAGAAACAGATTTGATAGTCTTGTCACTTGATGTCTTCGTTGAAGTCTTTCAACCAACTGAAAGAATAGTCTGTGACATCCATCCCTCTAAAGGGGCCACATACTTTACCGGCAGTCGCTCGTAGCATCTGGGCGCCATTCCCAGTAACCTACGGGATCCGTTTGTCACTGCTGTCAACGTTGGTGCAAAGTAAAACAGTCACACAGATTTTGTTTTGCTTGCCTCTGCAGCAGTCTTCTCCTTTAAGTGCCTACATGCGATTAGGCAGCATCTGATAAAACAGCCGTTTCATCAGTATTAATCAGCTGCCTTGTAGCGGCTCAGAATGCCAGCCAGCTTCTCGGGCACACACGATGCACAAAAATTGTTGTCGGCAGAGGAGGACTCTTCACTAATCATTTTCCTGGTGACCCGTTTTGGCTCTTAAATCATTGAAGACAGCCGTTGCTAGCATTGAAGCGGTCGTGGCCCAGGATAGAAGCAAAATCTTTCGCTTTTTTTTGGTAGAATTGTGCCACGTGTGGGAACGTTTCGAGCATATGTGTCCAAAAACCATGTAAGCACGGCTTTGTCTACATAAGTGTAAGTGGACAACTTTATCCTTTTTTTCTAAGAGCTTGTCCACCACAAGTGCACTGCGGAGGCTGTCTTTAGCACGCAAGACAGTTGACAGAGTGCTGGCAGGAACATTCAATCGCGTAGCGATATGCTTTTTCTCACCAGCAGCGGCCTCATTCACGATCGACAGATTATCACTTTTTTGCCAAACTCTTTTTCAAAGCAAACGCTATCAGAAACATGCAATACACAGTGCTGACGTTAACACTTGCGTCAAGGCATTACGTGTTTACTCACACACGATACAACAACAAAACATGCACAAGCCTAAAAAAGACAAGCAAGATCAGTTACGAGCCAAAGTGACACCTGATGTCATGATGTGTTAGCAAAGAAAGAAAAAAAAGAACTTGGACCTGCCGCAGAGTGGCACAAGGGGCTTTCACCATCACCATCATCATTGCAGCACATCAGCTCGACTGCTCTGGCTCAGTGTGCTCGCATGCATTCCTCCTGTGATTGCTGCTTGCCTTTATTTAGGTACTGCAAAAGTTATGCATTGTTTATCCCAATGTTCAGCAGATCTACTGCTCATGATAATAAATTATGAACATTGAAATTTGTTGCACTTTAGTCATGTGTCATAATCTCTTCGTTACATGGAGGTAAAACATACATGGGCTTGAGCTGTTTTAAATCTGTACAACAGCATGGAAGGTAAGAGTTATTCACAAAGCATAGAAGGAGCAAAGACAATTTCATGTGGTATTGTTTATTCATCAAAAAAACATCACACAGACTTTCTTGTCACAAGTGTTTGAGACCTT